GTGGAAGCAGCGGCGGCGGCGGCGGCGGCGGCGGCGGCGGCAGCAGCAGCGGCTGTAACCTCTCGGCGGCGCTTCTGGCGGTGGCCCTTGACCCCCTCCATGTTCTCCAGGCGGTGCCTGGCGCAGCGGCGGGCCTTCTTGTCCGAGGCGTAGCCGAAGGACGGGTGGCAGAAGCATCCCTGGGGGAGGGGGAGGTGGTGGTTGCGGTGGACCAAAGGTGGAGGGCTGAGGTGCGGTGTTGGTCCGAGTGAAAGTAAAAAAGGAGGGTTGGAGCCAAACAACAGGGGCTGAAAAGGAAGCAAGAACGGGTTGAAAGGGAAGCTAAAAGGACGCCAAAACGGGGTTGGAGAGGGAGCTCGGAAAGGAAGCAAAAATGCCGTTGGAAAGAAAGAAAACGCCCCAAAAGAGCAAGGAGAAAGGAAGCTGCAGTACAAGCGGGTTGCAAAACAACGGCAGCAACAAGGGGTTTGAAGCGGCTGCCGCACTTCAGCTTACCGGCTCTTGGCAGCGCGTGCTGACCACGTCGATCATGCCGGGCGACTTGTGCTGGCTGCAGCACACCGGGCGGAGGCCGTCGAAGTTGTACAGAGGGCGCCTCCCGCACGATGGCTCCCGGCACCGCCTCGACACGATGTCCACCATGCCCGTCTCACGGTGACCGCTGTGCGCGTGAAGGGCAGGGGGAAAAGGAAACGCAGAGGAGGAGGAGGAGGAGGAGGACGAAGAGCAAAAAAAAAAATAACCCGTGATTGGTTGAAGACGGGTGGGTCGTCGTTTTGTACTGGGAACCTGCCGTGGAACGAAAATCTCAAGCCATTATTAGTATGGCGACGGATTGGGTGTTGCGCCGGGGGGCTTGTGGTGGAATGATAATACTCTCAAGCGCTTGACATGTACTTTGCTAGCAACCTGTCGACTCCTTTCGCCTTCCGACGAGAGAACAAACACATGCACGAAAATACACAAAGGAATCCACGTGAAAGGACGCCATGGACCAGGCTTATGTGGACGCTGCTACATACACTGTCGTCTAAGCTCTTGCTCCCTTGCTGCACACAATCGTTAAACTCACAAGAAACACATTGAAGAAAAAACAAACACACACCCACACCCACACAAAAGCATCCACCACACCCACACCCACCTGCAGTACGAAGCGCGTCTGTCCCCCGGGAAGCCGAAGTTGGGGTGACGGAGGCACCCCTGCTGCTGGCAGCGGCGGCTCGACACGTTGATCATCGCGGGGAGTTTGTGCTCCGCGCAGTACGAGGCGCGGCGGTCGCCCTGCGGGAAAAAATTACAAGGCAGAGGAAGGGAGGGTATTATGATATTTGGAAGAGGGTGGTGCGGTACTTCGGGTCGTTTTAAACGCAGCGCTATTTCGCTCTAAATTTCTAAATTTCCCAAAACAAATAATTGGAAAGGTTCCGTTCCAAAATTTTCGGCCCCTACTTCTTACCAAATTTCCAATTTTTCCAAAAAGAAAAATGTTGTGTGGGCGCCGCAAATCGCCGTTCCGTGTGTTTTCGGAACGCAAATTTGGGAAATTTGGGAAAAAAATCGCCGCGTTTAAAAAGCCCTTACCCATGGTTATTTGGCATTTTATCAGGATTTCGAGGCAGCCGCGTGATGGTGCGTTTGCCACGGTTATTTGGCGCTATGAGAAGCAGTTGTGTTTGTGACGCCATGGCAAGGTTCAGGAACAACCTGAGTCATCTGCGGTCGGACGAGTTCCACACAACCCGACCCTTGGTTAGGGATGTGTGCTATTTTCCGCCACCTGCGGCACCTTCTCGGAACATGCGACCGCTGTGAGGCCCTACTGCTGTAGTGTATTTGAAGTAAACGTTAACGGGGTCGATACTTCCAGTGTATATTGTAGATCGTATACAAAATACACACAGAGAGACTACCCGTTCGAGGTATCGCCAGAGTCGTCGAAACGGAGGTGCTCCAGAAAAGCCTGTTCAGTGAAAGCAAGAAAAACAAACCGGCTGGAAACTGGGCTCATTTTGAGTCTGCCTAAGCCTGCACACAACTGAACTATACGAAGTACCAGTTTAGCACAAGGCCTTGGCACAACATGCAAGGCGAGTGAAACCGCGCATACTCTAGGGAAGAGAGGGTCCCCGGCTAGTGTGGAAGCATTTGCCGGTAAAACTTCGTTCATGATCCATTCACTGTTGAATGGTCGGAAAAAAAGCTGCTGCCTGGGCGGGTGGGCGTTTTATCTGCACCCAACGTAGACAGACGTTAGCTTCCGATCTACAGCGTGTGAAGACTCTTTCCCAATTTACAGCGTGTCAAGACTTTTTCCCAACCTGGAGTTCTTTCTGTCCGCCATTTGACCAAGCTAAAAATGCGTTTCTTGCCAATTTTTTTGCTCAAGAGACGTTCCTCGTTAAAATGGCGCTTCTCGCCTACACAGAGTTTTTGTTGTAGGATTTAGGTGTGTGTGTAGGTGGAACACAGAAGAGAGTGATTCCTTCCAGAAGGTGCGGGGAGATGTAATTCTCTTGAGAGGGGCAGCAGCAGCGCCATCACACAACGACACAACTTGGTAGAGAAAGAAGTCGACGTCACACAATCACCAACAACAACGTTTTGGTGTGAATGGAGTGTTGGTGGTGCTTGTGCTACGCTCTTGAAGCCGCACGAGGACACGTCGCAAAGGTTTGGACGAGGAATGCTCGGAGTGATTGATGGCGCTGCACAAGCAGCTCCTCAAAGGGGGTGCCACCAATAAAAAGTGCAAAGCTGGCTCAACTCAACTAACGATGGCGGGTCGCCAGTCTTTTCATCATTGCTCGGTCAGGAGAGGTCCAGAATCTTGCAGTGATGTTCGTAGCGATGTCAACAACCGACTGGCGGGAGATTCACTGGGTTTTCGGGTCCGATAACGGATGAAAGAGAAGTGAACAAGACCAATATATGTAGCCAAAGCGGTACCCCCCCCCCCCCCCCGCGCCCAACGGGGGGCTCCCCTCCCTCCCCAAACTGGGTTGGCCGGGGCACTGCTCCTTCTTAAACAACGGGGGGCCCCGATCCATCATCCCCGGCAGCCCGATTATTTTTTATTTTTAAAAAACAAAAACCCCCCCCAAAAAAAAAAATAACAGTCGTGTTGGGGAAGGGCCCTTAACAGCACCCTTTGAGGGGAATACCAAGAAAAAATATATTTACATTTTTTTGGGGGGAAGGTCCCACGGAAGGGGAACAAAACAAAATT